AAACTATAAAGTGAGAGTATAAAAGCTATATAATTCTGCATAAGTGTTACTCAAAAATAACACTGCATTGAAAAGAAAAACATAAGGAAGAATTTGCATTCCTAATAAATGTGACAGCGTGAAATAAGACAAGGTATAATGGCTCATAAAAGCAAACGGAAACATCAGAGATGGTATAAAAAAACACATGAGGAATAGGAAGTACTACAAAGTATACATTCAACATAAGGGAAGATATTCAAGAACTCCTACCTGGTAAGTCCTGCAGGACTAAGTCATTCCCAGCCCCCAAACAGCAATCAGAACAAAAACTCCATGAAAAGCAGAAGCTTTCACACAGAGCTGCCTACAAGGATATGGAAAACATGCACCATGACAAAGCTTGTGCAGTTCATCAAAATGTCTTGAAAGACAACAAACTCACAACTGCTTCTTCCACAAACTTTTCAAAGTACCTCACGATTGGCCCCTGCATTACATTAAATAACTAGAACAATGCTGGCACATAACAGAAACATCTTGAAAGACAAGAAATACACCTTACCAAGACAGAAGTCCTCTGCCCAAATTCAGACTTCTATAAGCTGACCTCAAGCCTCAAATTTCATTCCAGGCTTGATCAGGTTCTTGTCCTTCCTAAGCACACCACCAATCCAGTTTCTCCCAGATAATCCTCTCCCATCCCTGGTATTCCAGAGAGCTTTGTCAAAGTTTCCTAATTAACCGTGCACCCATACCACAGTCCCTAAGAAAGACCACACCACACCCATCACCATTTTCTTACCCTCATTTCCTAAGGTTGTTGCCCAGATGCTGTCCCAGGTCTAATACTCGGAGACCCACCAGTTCTACTAGTAGACCTACCAGCTCCTCCCTATTACAACTCTACTGAAGTCACCTGACCTCCTCCATACACCCCCATTTCCCTGTCTATATCACAGAGTGGCAATACAGAAATTACCTGATTTCAGCTCCCAACACATTGCATGCCCCGGTTCTTCCATGAATCTAACCCTCCACTCACACCACACTAAAATACCTCCATCCCGTCATTCTTAGGCCCGAAATCTCAAACCCAAACTTTTATAACACGTCTCTCCAATCCAGACTTCTTGGGTTTTGTACTCTGACTCAACAGCACACACTTGTCCTCCAGGTCTCCCTCCCATTTCCTGGATACCCAAGTCTTCCCTATTACCATGTTCTTTGGCCCCTAATTCTCTGCAGTGCCCGGGGGAACTCAATTCCCCCAACATCCTATCCATCCCTGTCTGCATGCTATCCAACTCTACTGAAGCCCACCAGGCCCTACATTTCTCCCCATGCCTGTGGGGCTACCCACTGACCCTCCCTGCCATGGGAATGACGTCCGCATCTCTGTCAGCCTGGGCCGCCAACCCCAGGGAATGGGCTTCCCCTTCCCTTCCCCTTGTGGCATCCAGACATGGCCACTACTGGTGGCAAGCCCATCTGCTCACCAGTGCTCCTCTCCAGGAAGAAGACCCAGCTGGCGTTGAGCAGGAAGCTGTGCAGTCTCTCTGGGAATGGGAGATTACTTGGCAGCTGAGCTTCAGGCATCCACTCTGGGTTAGTTTTCACATCCAGATCCTCTGGGAGGGAGGAGGGGAGGCAGACATCGCTTCTTCGGATTCCTCATGGCTGAGCCGCTGACTCCGAACCTGTGGATTCGAGGGAGAATGCTGCTGGAAAGTCACGGGATCCCATCTCCTTTGAGGCAGCCCCTGGGCATCTCTGTCCTGTTAGCTAAATGCGCAAGTGCCATCCAAATAACACCTCCCCCTTCCTCCCAGGAAACACAGTGTCAGTGGAGGAGGCCAAGCTACCTTGGATGAATCAGGGGAAGTGGCCTTAGCTCTAAATGGCACTGCAGCCCTGTGCTCATCACAATCAGAAATGCTCCAAGGACATCGTCGATTCCCATCCAGCCCACCAGAATCTCAGGGCAGTATGGAGCTCTCTAGAGCTCTGGGCTGAACACCTAGACAATCCCGTTGGTGCAGCGCTCTGACAAACTGCCCGTGGTCAGGGTACTGAATGGAGGATACCTGCCCAGCATCCTTGGCCTAGTCGGTGGGCCGGGGCTGCTGCCCGGAGTCAGACAAGCAGGCCTGGTGCTGTGTTACAGCACGTTAAAGCCACGGCATGCAGTGCTGTCTTCCATGTCGGTGCCAGTGTGTGTTCTGGCTGCTCCACTTCCAATCCAGCTCCCTCCTAACATGCCTGGGGAAGCGGTTGGAGGATGTCCCAATTCCTTGGGCCCCTGCAGCCACATGGGAGACCCAGAAGAAGGTCCTGGATCCTGACTTCATATTGGCTCAGTTTGGCCATCACGGTCATTCCAGGAGTGTACTGGCAAATGGAAGACCTCTCTCCCTCTCATACTCTCTCACTCTCGTTCACCTGCACTTGTTCTGTTTCTAATTCTTTTTTTTATTTTATTGATTTTTTTTGACAGGCAGAGTTAGTGAGAGGGAGAGACAGAGACAAAGGTTTTCCTTCTGTTGGTTCACCTCCCAAATGGCCACTATGGCCAGCGCTACACCAATCCAAAGCCAGGAGCCAGCTGCCACCTCCTGTTCTCCACGCGGCTGCAGGTGCCCAAGCAACTTGGGCCATCCTTCACTGCCCTCCTGGGCCACAGCAGAGAGCTGACTGGAAGAGGAGCAGTTGGGAATAGACCTGGTGCCCATATGGGATGCCGGCATTCAGGCAGAGGAATTAGCCAAGTGAAACACATTGCCGGCCTTCTCGCTAATTCTTAGAAAGAAATGAAATAGGGTCAGCACCACGGCTCACTAGGATAATACCTCCTCCTAGGGCGCTGGCACACCGGCTTCTAGTCCCGGTTGGGGTGCTGGATTCTGTCCCGGTTGCCCCTCTTCCAGGCCAGCTCTCGCTGTGGCTAGGGAATGCAGTGGAGGATGGCCCAGGTGCTGGGCCCTGCACCCCATGGAGACCAGGAAAAGCACCTGGCTCCTGGCCCTGCCATCGGATCAGCGCAGTGCGCCGGCCGCAGCGCGCCGTCCGCGGCGGCCATTGGAGGGTGAACCAACGGCAAAGGAAGACCTTTCTCTCTGTCTCTCTCTCACTGTCCACGTCTGCCTGTCAAAAAATAAAAAAAATATTTAAAAAAATTAGAAAAAAAGAAATGTTTTATTAAAAAGCCACATTATCATCTCATTAGATAGAGAAATAACCTGAAAGATCCAATCCTATTCATGATAAAAAAAAATTCCACAAAGTAGGTATAAAAGGAATAGGCATCAAAATCTTAAAGGCTATGTATCACAACTCAACAGCCAATGCCATGCTGGATGGGCAAAAAGTGAAAGCATTTTTGTCAAACATGTAACAACACAAGGATATCCCCTTTTAAAATTCTTACTGAATGCAGTACAGTAAATTTTCACAAGAGAAAGAAAGGAGAAGAAAGAAATAAACAGCACCAATGTTATAAAAGAGAAAGTGAAATTCTAAAAGCTTACAGATGGCATGATATGGTACCAGAAAAAAACTAAAACAATCCACCAAAAACACTGCTAGAACTGGTGAAACAATTAAGTGAAGTTTCAGGTTTATGAATAAACATAGTGTGTAAGCAGCAGTGTTTATACATTAATGATGAACTCACTGAACAGAGCAATCAACAAATATCCCAAGGACAATAACCACAAAATAAAAGTTTAGGAAAAAATTTTAACCAAAGAAGTCAAAGAGCTCTAAATGAAAAATCACCACACACTGATGAACAAAATCACCAAGGACACAAAAGTGGAAAGATGTCTCTTTTGGTGGATTTGAAGAATCAGTATAATTAAAATCTCTACCTTGCCTACTGCTACCTAAAGATTCAATTAAATTTTCATCAAAACACCAATGACGTTTTTTTACCAGAATTATATACCACAAACCTATAATTCAAACAAAATCACAGAAGATGCAGAAAAGATAAGGTGTTTCTGAGCAAAAAGTGAAACAAAGTTATTAGCCGGATACCTCACAACACCTGATTCAAAGCATTCTACAAATGACACTAAACAAAATATCATAGCACTTGCATAAAAATGACACACAGACCAATGGAGAGAACAAGGCGAGCTCCAATATTAATCAAAATATGTTCAATACCATATTTTTTACAAAAGGTCTCAGACCATCCATTGGATTCTTCAACAAGTGGTGTTGCCAAAAATGGATGTATTTGTGTAGAAGATTGAAATTAGATTCATAACTCCAACAAAATATGAAAATCAACTCAAATGGATCAGAGACCTAAATCTATGACCCAGCACTGTGAAGCTTTTTGAAGGCAATACAAACAAAGCTCCAAGACACTGGAATAGGGGATGACTCTTAGACAAGACCCTCAAAGCCCAGGCAGCTAAAGCAAACCAAACAAATGGGATCAAATGAAATGAAAAGCTTTGCACAGCAAAGGAAATCATCATAGAGTGAAGATTCATTCACAAGAATGACCAAAGGATACTTGTCAGCAACCTATATGAAAAGGGTTAATATCAGGAATACATCTGCAACTTAAAAAAAAACACCAATAAAAAACCCAACCAATCCAGTTATGAAGTAGCCAAAGGAACTCAACAGACAGTTCCCCATCGATATACAGATGGCCAAGAATATAGGAAAAATGCGCAACATCACAAGCCATCAGGGAAATGCAAATCCAAACCACAATGAGATATCAGCCTCACACGTACATACTGGCTAAAACCCAAAGGACGGAGAGTCACAATGAGGAAGGAAGATGTGGGAAAAGGGAAAAACTTACCCACTGGTGGTAAAAAGTAAATTAGTGCAGACGCTGTGGAAAACGGTATGGAGATTTCTTAAAAACCAGACAGACTTGCCATACGATATGGAGCAATCCCTCTACTGGCTATAACCCAAAACACATGAACATATTGTATCACAGAGATACGTCCACCACAATATTTATTGCAGTATGCTTCACGGCAGTGAAAACAAGAAACTGACGAAGTCTTCTAACATCATCGTTGAATGGGTAGGAATAATACTACACACACACACACACACACACACACACAGTGAAATAACCTTACAAATCCTTCTTTCCACAAACTTTTTCAAGGACCCACATGATGCTCTCTGCATTACCTTAAGTAACTACAACAAATGTGGGCACATCACAGACACTCCTTTGAAACCCAGAAAAACACGTTTACCAAGAGAAAGTCCTCTGCTATAATTCTGACTTCTACAAACTGAATACAAGCCACAAACTTCATTCCCAGGCTATGCCAGTTTCTCCATGTACCTAAGCCCCCTATCAACACTTATCTGATTTCAACTAAGATCTTCTCCATCTCTTGGTAGTCTGCACACTTTGGTCAAATTTCCTGATTAACTCAGCACACATTCCCCAGTACCTTCTGAAAGGTCCCCCTGACCACCTCCTGATATCCGTTCCCTCACTTTAACTAAGGTTTCTCCCCAGGCCCTGTCCCGCATCTAACACTCTGATGCTCCACTAGTTCTTACAAGTAGATCTACCAGCTCCTCCCTATTACAACTCTCCTCATGGTGGCATGCCTTCCTCCATGCAATCCTTCTCTTTTCCCTTTCTATCACTGGATGGTGACATACAGAAATAACCTGTTTTCAGCTCCCAAAACCTTGCATGAACCAGGTTCTTCCATGGCATCTAACCCTCCACTCCCGCTGCATGAAGTACTTGCAATCCCATCGTCCTTAGCCTGAAAATCTAAAACATAACAACTACTACCACGTCTCTCCAAAGCAGACTTCTTATCTTTTGTACTCTGAGTCAACACATGCAGTTTTCCTCCCAGGTCTCCCTCCCACTGCCTGGAGACACAATCTTCCCTTCTTAGCATGTTCTTTGGCCCCTAATTCTCTGCAGCACCCGAGGGAATGCATTCACCAACATCTTATTCACCTCTGTCTCTGTGGCCAACACTCTATTCTAGGAATGCTAGGCCCCCACATTTCTGTCTCCAAATGTCTATAGGGCTCCCCCACTTGACCCTCCTTCCCAAAGCTTGGAAGTCCACCTTACTCTCAGCCTCGCCAGCCCAACTCCAGGGAACAGAGGTCCCATCCCTTCCCTTCTCTCCCCCTTGGCCCAAAGGCTGCCATCTACAGGACGCATCCATGTCTACTAACCAGTTGCTCCTGTCCAGGGTGAAGGCCTAGCCGGGTTTTACAAGGAAGATGAGCAGGCTCCAGAAATGGAAGATTACCCAGCAGCTGAACTTCAGCGTCAACTCGGTGTCCAGTTTCATATCCATGAAAATGTCTACAATGAAAATTAATAAACATTAAAGAAATAGAAAAAGACACACAAAAATGGAAAAATCTGCATGTTCATTCATTGGTAAAATCGACAAAATGAAAATTTCCATTCTACCATAAGCAATTTAGAGATACAATGGGATCCCAACCAAAGGACAAATAACATTTTGCCCAGATGGAAAGAAAACAATGCTGAAATTCATATGAAAACACAGAACATCCAAATACTGAAAGCAACCATATACAACATTGACAAAACTCAAAGCGTCGCAATAACAGATTGTAAGACACAGAACAGGGCAGTTACGATCAAAACAGCTTGGTACAGGCAAAAAAAGAATGACATATAGAACAATGGAACAGAAAAGAAACACCTGAAATAACGCACACATCTACAACTACTCTGTCTTTTAAAAGTGCTAAAGATCAATCCCAGGTGCAAAGGACAGTTTTCTTCAAAAACTGGTCCTGAGAAAACTGGACCTCCACATGCAGAACTCTGAAAGAAGCCCGATACCTTACACCTTATACAAAAAGCAACGAAAAACACTTCAAGGAACAAAATCTAAAACTGAGTATCATCAAATTATGAGAGAACACTAGTCCATTATGGGTACAGGTTCACATCCGTGTCCTCCACGGGGGGAGGGGAGGTTGACACCAGCGTCTCGGCTTCCTCACAGTTGAGCTCCCACCCACCCCCACTGCCTCCAAACCTGTGGATTTGGGGGGAAAACACCGCTGGGAAGCCCTGAATCCCGCATCCTTTGAAGAAGGCCCCGGACATTTCACTGTCCATAATCTCAAAAGCAGCAAATCCCTCCCGCACTCTCCAAGCCTCCCGTGCCACTGCTGCCAATAACACCGCCAGCCTACCACGACGCCACTCCCACAGACATCTCCTACTTCTTCCGGAGGCCTACTGCTCAAGTGCCGTCCAACTAACACCCGCCCCTTCCTCCCAGAATACACAGCGTCAGCGGAAGAGGCCGCACTGCCTTGATTAACCAGGGGCGGCGACCTGAGCCCCAGCCTGACATGGCTGCCCTGTGCTCACCATGAGCAAATGCCCTCCAAGGGCATCGTTGCTCCCAATCCAGCCCATCAGAAGCTCAGGGCAGTGTGGAGCTCTCTACACCTCCAGGCTGACACCCAGCCACTCCTGCATGGGGCAGCGCACTGACAAACTGCCCGTGGTCAGGGTACTGAACGGCAGATACATGCCCAGCATCCTTGCCCTTGTCTGTCCCAGGGCTGCTGCCAGGAGTCAGACGACCAAGTGCACGATGTGTTGCGCTCCGGACAGAGAGGTAGGGTGGGGACAATCACTGTGTACCTAAATTGCATTTATGAAATGCATGGACTTTGGATCTCTTAAATACAAAACATATCTTATGAGAACACCTGCACTGTCTTCTCTTGGTCATTTCCTCGCCCCTCCCCTATGTCACAATTGTAGTGACTCAGTCGCTCATCACTGTGTCCCTGGGAACAGACTGCCTTGCTGGAAGTCCTAACTCAGAACTTTTCATCCCACAACTTGCAGAATACACATTCCTTCTCATCAGCCCCTGGAAACTTCTCTAGGACACAACATATGATAGGCCATAAAACAAGCTTAGTAAACTCAGTAACTGAAATCATTCACGCATCTTCTATGACCAAAATTCAAGGAAATGGGAAATCAACAACTCAAGAAACTCCAAAACATATGCAAACACATGGAGACCAAACGACATGCTCCTGAATGAATGGTGGGTCATAGGAGAAATCAAAATGGAAATCAAGAAATTTCTGGACATGATTGAAGATAACAACAGCACAACACAGCAAAACGTATGGGACACAGCAAATACAATGTTAGGAGGACACTTGATAACAACTTGTGCCTACCACAAGATATTGGAAAGGCATCAAATAAATGAGCTTTTCAATGCATCACAAAACCTGGAAAACCAACATATCAAACTCCAAATTAGCAGGATGACAGAAATCATGGAAATTTGAGAAGAAATAAACAAAGTTGAAGCAAAAACATTACAAAAGATCACTGAAATGAAAGCTCATTAAAAAAATTTTTTACAAACTTGCTGAAAATCTCCAAAACAAACAAACAAACAAAAAAACAGGAATAAGACCCCAATGAGTAAAATCATAAACAAAAAACAAACTGTAATACAGAAACCCAATAAATAAAAAAAAAACATCGGGAATTACTACAATGTACTGTTTGCCAATGAATTGGTCACTCAATAAGTCTGCCTTTCATTTAAATAAATATTAAAAAACATATAATTATTTCAATAGATGAAAACAGCTGGAAAATATGCAAAAACCTTTCAGAAAGAAAGCCTTAGGCAAACTGACAGTAGAATATTCCTCCACATAATCAAGGCAATTTATGTCAAACCGACTGATAGCATCTTATGAATGGGGAAAAGTTGGAAGCATTCCCAACTATGATCTGGAATCAGACAAGGATGTACTCTCATTATTGCTATTCAATATAGATCTGGAAGTTTTAGAGCCATTAGGCAAGAAAAAGAAATCAAATGGATACAAATTGGGAAGGAGGAAGTCAAACTATCCCTCCTTCAAAAGCACATGATTTTTTAAATGGGGGAACCAAGAAACTCCACTATGAGATTATTAGAACTCAGAGTTTGGAAAAGTGGCACGATATAAAATCAACACACAAAAATCAATAGAATTTGTATACACACAATGTCATGGATGAGAGACAACTTCAAAGATCCATTCCATTCACAATAGCTACTAAAATTTAAATACCTTTGAATAAAGGTATCCAAGGAGGTTGAAGATTTAAAAAGCAACTCCAATACTTTTCCAGCTATTTTAAAATATTGAGCTGGATGGAATAGGATTCAACTCTAACAAACACTTTTTGTGAGCCAGAATTACTCTGACCACAAAAGATAGCTAAACATTGAATGTAAATAAAACTGCTGGCCTAGATCCTAAATGAAAAAGATGCAAACATTCTCAACAAAATTCTAGCCAAACAAAACCAAAATCACACGCAAAAGCTCATGTATAACCTTTGATTGGAATTCATCCCAGAAATGCCATGATGTTCCACATTTTCAAATTAATACACATGATAAATTATATCAAACTAATTGAAGAACAAAACCACATTGTCAGCCAGCGCCGTGGCTCACTAGGCTAATCCTTCGCCTTGTGGCACCGGCACATCGGGTTCTAGTCCCGGTCGGGGCGCCGGATTCTGTCTCGGTTGCCCCTCTCCCAGGCCAGCTCTCTGCTTTGGCCCGGGAGTGCAGTGGAGGATGGCCCAAGTACTTGGGCCCTGCACCCCCTGGGAGACCAGGAGAAACACTTGGCTCCTGCCATCGGATCAGTGGGTGCGCTGGCCACAGCATGCCGGCCGTGGTGGTCATTGGAGGGTGAACCAACGGCAAAAGGAAGACCTTTCTCTCTCTCTCTCTCACTGTCCACTCTGCATGTAAAAAAAAAAAAGAAAAAAAAACACATTGTCAGGGCCAGCACTGTATTGCAGTGGGTTAAGGCCACAACACACAATGCCTCCATTCATATGTGTGCCATTTCGCATCCAGGCTGCTCCTCTTCCAATCTAGCTCCCTTCTAATGTGCCTGGGAAAGTGGCAGAGGATGTCCCAATTAGTTGGGCCCTTTCAGCCACATGGGAGACTTGGAAGAAGGTTCTGGATCCTGACTTCATACTGGCTCAGTCTGGCCATTGAGGTCATTTAGGGAATAAACTAGCAAATAGAAGACCCCTCTCCCTCTTTTCCTCCCTCCCTTTCTTTTGCTCTTGCTCTATCTCTATCAATCTATATCATTCTTTTTTTTTTTTTTTTTTTTTTTTTGACAGGCAGAGTGGACAGTGAGAGAGAGAGACAGAGAGAGAAAGGTCTTCCTTTGCCGTTGGTTCACCCTCCAATGGCCGCCGCTGCAGCCGGCGCACCGCGCTGATCCTGGCAGGAGCCAGGAGCCAGGTGCTTTTCCTGGTCTCCCATGGGGTGCAGGGCCCAAGCACCTGGGCCATCCTCCACTGCACTCCCTGGCCATAGCAGAGAGCTGGCCTGGAAGAGGGGCAACCGGGACAGAATCCGGCGCCCCGACCGGGACTAGAACCCGGTGTGCCGGCGCCGCAAGGTGGAGGATTAGCCTATTGAGCCACGGCGCCGGCCCAATCTATATCATTCTTGCAAACAAATGAAATAAATCTTTTGAAAAACCACATTATCATCTAATTAGATACAGAAATATCAATAGAATAAAAAAGGATTAAAAAACTACACAAAATAGATACAGAAGGAATACATATCGAAATCATAACGGCTATGTATGACATGCCAACAGCCAATGTCATGCTGGATGGGGAAAATGTGAAAGCATTTTTGTCAAACATGTAACAACACAAGGATGTCCCTTTTTACCACTCTTTCTGAATGTAGTACTGTAAATTTTCACAAAAACCATGAGGGAGAAGAAGAAAGAATCAGTAAATAGGTTTGAAAATTGAACATCAAATTCTAAGGGCTTGCTGGTGACATGATATTGTAACAGAAATACTAATACAATGAACCCAAAACACTGCTAGGACTGGTGAAACAATTAAGTGAAGTTACAGGTTACAAATAAACATACTGTAGAAAACAGCAGTGTTTAATACATTAAAGATGTTTTAAAGCTCTATAATCAAAATTACCATATCTTGATAAAAGAAATCACTAAGAACAGAAATAATGAAATGATATTTCTTTGATGGATTCGAAGAATGAGTATCATTAAAATGTCTACCTTGGCCGGTGCCACAGCTCAATAGCTAATCCTCCACCTGCGGAGCCGGCACAGCGGGTTCTAGTCCCGGTCGGAGCGCCAGATTCTGTGGCGGTAGCTCCTCTTCCTGTCCAGCTCTCTGCTGTGGCCCGGGAGTGCAGTGGAGGATGGCCCAAGTCCTTGGGCCCTGCACCCGCATGGAGACCAGAAGAAGCACCTGGCTCCTGGCTTCAGATCAGCATGGTGCACCGGTCACAGCGTGTCAGCCGCAGCAGCCATTGGGGGTTGAACCAACGGTAAAAGGAAGACCTTTCTCTCTCTGTCTCTCTCTCTCTCACTGTCTACTCTGCCTGTCAAAAAAAAATGTCAACCTTACCTAATGCAATATAAAAATTCAATTAAATTGTTATCAAAATATCAGTGACATTCTTTGTGGAAAAAACAAAAAAAAAAATGCCTAAAATTCATACAAATCACAGAAGATCCAGAACAGCTTGGGGGTTCCTTACCAAAAAACAAACAAAACAAAACAAAAGTACCTGGATGCCTCACAACACCTGATTCAAAGCATACTACAAATCAACACTAATTAAAACATCACAGCAGTGGCATAAAATGTGACACATTGACCAATGGAAAAAAAAACAATGCAAGTCCCAAAATCAATACCAATATGTAGAGACATCTGATTTTTGATAAAAGGTCTCAGATATTCACTGCTATAAGGAAAATCTCCTCAAAAACTGGTGTTGGCAAAACTGCATTTATGTACGAGATTGAAATTAGATCCATTACTCACAGAAAAGAAGAAAATCAACTCAAAATGGATCAAGGACTTAAATGTAAGACCAGGGACTATGAAGCTTTTGGAAACAAATGTAGAGTAAGTACTAGAAGACACTTAAGTACAGATTGACTCTTAGAAAAGACCTTCAGGGCAAAGCAACAAAATCAAAACTAATCAAATGGGATTATATCAAAGTCAACAGCTTATGGACAGCAAAGGAAATCATCAATAAAGAGTCCTCCAACAGAATGAGCAAAAATATCTGTGAGCTACCTACCTATCTGAAAAAGGATTAATGTACAGAATACATCCGCAACTTAAAAAAAAATAAAATGAAACAATGAATCCAGATATGAAATGGCCAAAGGAGCTGAACAGAGTTCTCCATAGAAATACAAATGGCCACTGGTGCCACGGCTCACTAGGCTAATCCTCCACCTGCGGCACCAGACACCAGTTCTAGTCCTGGTCAGGGTGCCAGATTCTGTGGCGGTTGCTCCTCTTCCAGTCCAGCTCTCTGCTTTGGCCCGGGAGTGCAGTGGAGGATGGCCCAGGTCCTTGGGCCCTGCACCCGCATGGGAGACCAGGAGAAACACTTGGCTCCTGGCATCGGATCAGCTTGGTGTGCCAACCACAGTGCACCGGCCACAGCAGCCATTGAGGATGAACCAACGGCAAAGGAAGACCTTTCTGTCTCTCTCTCTCACTGTCCACTGTGTTAAAAAATTTTAAAAAAGAAATACAAATGGCCAACAATTCTATGAAAAAAATGCTCAATATCACAAGCCATCATGGAAATGCCATCCAAACCACAATGATATGAGCTAGCCCTTTCAAAATGGTTAAGCTCCAAAGGACAGAGTCACAATGATAAGGTGGAAGTGGGAAAAGGGGAACACCTACACACTGCTGTTAAATATGTAAATTAGTGCAGGTGCTATGGAAAACTGCAGGAAGACTACTCCCTGGGGGCTGGAGGAACCTGAGAGAATGGCCTTTGGGGCCGGTGCGCCTGAAGCACCTGTGGAAGGGGCAGGTGGAGAGGGGAGGGGAAGAAAGGTGGGGGACAGGGGAGGGTAGCATGGTGTGTGCAGGCTGGGCTGCAGACTCCCACTGGAAGGCAGGGCCTGGGGGAGGTCCTGGTCTCAATCTAGGTCCATGGGGACCCCAGGTCTTCATTTATAAACCTGTCAGCCATGCCTAACTCCACCACTCAGCCTGCACCTCTATCTATACAGCTCCCTTCTGGGTCCTGCTCAGAAGAGGGGCGCCCTCACCCATCTCCCACAGAGCTGCAAGTGACAGGGTGGGTGGCAGATGCCACCATGGGGGCCAGAACTCCCTTCCCACATCCCCCAACAGGCAATCCCTGGAGACCACTAGGAGGTGGCTGGTCAGGTGCCCACCAGTGGGAGCTGCCACCCTGAAAACTAGAGCTAGACACAAAGCAGGCCTGGCTCGACACCTCCTCCTGTCATTGGCCACCTGACCAGAGAGGCCCACACCGTTCGCCCTCTCCTGTCCACTGAGCTGAACACAGGTTGGGAAGGTGAGGTGAGGGATCAATGCTGGGGGTGGTGGGTGGGAGTGCCATCATCGTAGGCACTGGTTCCAGTCCTGGCTGCCCCCTGTGAACACACCTGGGAAGGCAGGGGTCAGAGGACACAAAAGCCCCACCCCTAAACCACTCTTCAGGGAGTGTGGCCATGGCTGAGCCATGGTGGCCACAAAAGCGACAGACAGCAGCCATGTGGAAGCCAACGGTAAGAGCAGCTTCAGACCCCATGTTAAGGACCCAGAATCACCTGAGAGGCCCTAGAGATGCCAGCGACCAAGGACACAGCATTACTGGTGCTGATGAGGGGCGAGGGGAGGTCCAGACATGGACAGGCCTGGGGCAGCCAGGAATCCCAAGCACCTGTACCACTCCACAGCATCTCTCCCGGCTCACAAGCACCCAAGACAGGAGCTGGGAACAGCTGGGACTCAAGCTGGCACCCGAAGGCCATGCCAGTGTTGGCTGTAGGCCCAGCTGTGCCACCTCGCTGTCCCTGATTCCACCAAACATCAAGTGCCTGAGCTCCTAGAGCTCTGAAGGCGTCCCCAGTGCTGAAAATGGTGGGGTTTTAGGGTTTTAAGATTCTTTTTTTTTTATTTAAGATGCAGATTTGCAGAGAGAGAGAGAGATCTTCCACCTGCTGGTTCATTCCCCAAATGGCTAAAGCAACAAGGGCTGCGCCAGGATGAAGCCATTAACTATGCATGTGCACACCACACACTTGCACAGTACACATACACATGTGAACCTACATGCACACAGAACACACACATACACACACACTAACATCACCGTCACGGTCCACACAGGTGATCTTATTCCAGGAAGGGGGTGGCCTGCCTGCTGTGGTCCACAGGGAAAACAGAAGCAGTAACCACACCCTGGAGCCACCAGGGTGGGCATAACTCTGACGCTGGGGCTCTGAGCAGAGTCCAGGGGCAGCAATGTGCTCTGCCCCTCCCCGCCTTCAGGAAATGGAGTCCTGGGGCCCTAATGGGCAGCTGCGAGGACTGGGTTTCACATTGGTTTTTGCAGGAATGTGTGGAACCCCTTGGCACTGAGAACGTTCCTGGTCCCAGGTGGGTCTGGGCCAGGAAGAAGACTCCCTGACCAGGCCAGCTCTGACTCTTGCTCAGGACCTGCATGGCTGTGTCTCCTCCAGTGCAAGACACAAACACATCCAGAGAGAGGGAACAAGAAGCCAGGGCCAGCGCACTGAGGACAGGCCTCTGCCTGGGACCATGGCCTGGCCCTTCAGGGTCTCCGACACTCACCAGGATGAAAGCAGCCATGGGGTGTGGGTGGAGACTTAGGGTCCTGGGTTCTCCAGTGCCGGTACCAGCATGGCCCTGCGTCTTCTCCAAGGTGAGCATCAGAAGGAGATTGGCAGGGGGAGGCAGCCCCTTAACCTGGGCCCTTTTGGACATCTGCAGTCACCTGTGTCCACGACAGGTGCTGGTGTCCTTTCCGCTTTGCTGGGTCCCTTCTCTGGGTGCATTTCTGAGTGGAGCCCACGGACCCCTGAGCCCACTGCCCCCTCCTCAGCAGCCCTCCACTAGGGCCAGCGACCCGCCTGCTGCTCAGGCTCACTGAGGGGGTCTGTCCCACACACCCCCCAGCCCATGCCAGTTGAAGCATGTGCAGGAAGGGCCTGTGGGCTGAAGTATGCATCCGTGCACAGCCCATTCAGAGTTCACTTCTGGACTGAGTGTGTGTGCGCTGCATATGTGTGACTGCAGAGCTCAGAGCCAGGCTACAACTGGCTGCATGTAAAACAAACTCAGGAGCTCCAGAGGGGACAGTGTTCCAGAAGCTGCATTCAAAACTCCATAGGGAATAGGAGGGACCTGGGCTCCTCTTCCTTTAAGCGTACTTCAGGGCACCCACGCTCAGCAGCTGCCCCAGTGTCCACCAGCTCCTGAGGCCATCGCCTGTCCTCTGGCAGCTCCCAGCCTCTAGCGCCCAGCAGGTTCTTAAGGGTGGGGCCCACATGGCTGCAGGGTACATACCTATCAGCGAAGGAGCCCGTGATCTGAGGCCACAAATGCCAAACCAACCGTGAAACACTGTGGGCGAGGACAGGTTAGGGAGGCCCATGGCTACCTTAGCTGGCTCCTGGACACCAGTGACCACCTCTCTCCCTGCAGGGATTCTCACCCCCAACTCCACACCCCTGGACCCCCTCAGCCAAGGCTTCGACCAGCGTTCTTCATAGAAATGGTCCAGGCGGCTGTAGACACTTCACTGACCTTGCTGAGGATGGCCCACAGAAGTGCAAGTCCTGGGAAGCGGGGTGGTTTCTTCCCACTTGAAAAGCTGGAGATGCGGCCAGGGGTATGGCGGCCCATGGTCTGCAGGAGGCCAGGGTCAGCAGGATCGTCGGGCCACACAGAGCCTGGCTCTGAGTCCCACAGCTTTGTCGAGGATGAGGCCCCACCATGAAAAAGCTCCCCCAGCAGAGAACGGGAACAAACATTCCTGGGGAGAAACCAGGTTTTGCAGGGGCCAGCCAGGCAAGGGCAGGTGGGGCAGGGATACAGAGGCTACAGGGGTTGGGGCTTCTGTCTCCCTCTGTGGCTTCTGTCTCCCTCTAACTGTGCCCCTTCCCCCACTGTGGTTGTGGAAGCTCCCCAGGAGGGCCTGGCCTCGCTGACAGATGCACCAGGGACCCCCAGCAGCCCAGATCCTGGAAGGCAGCTTCCCACACCACAACACAGTCCCAGTTGCTGACTCTGGAGGTTTCAACGGGTGGGTGTGGGTGGCAGAACCTGCTGTCCCTCTTGGCACTGGGTCCGTGTATATGAGCCCCTCACCCAAAGTCACTGAGGGCAGAGACCTGGGTGGGACCCCTTGGGGTGGGGAGGGAGAAATGGTTCAAGAGGGTGGGGGGGTGTGGCCTGGCAGCTGGAGGTACTCTAGTGGCCGGGCACGGTGACTCTTGGGCAGGTGCCTGTCCATGGGCAGTTTGCTCCACTGCCCACTGCTCCAATTGTTCTAGGCCCTTCCCTTGGCACTGGGCCAGTGTGGAGCCGAGGCCAGCATTGATGTTCAATCTGCCTAGACTCTATAATTTGAAGATTTTGTTTTCTAAGAATTTTTATTTATTTAAGAAGGAGGGAGAGAAAGAGAGAGAGTGAGCGAGCAAGTGAGCGAGAGCACATGCTCCTCCTAGGTGTCTGAAGTTGCTGGAGCCCCAGGATGAAGCTTGGAAACCGGAGTGGAGCCTGGATGGAAACCCCAGGTCCTTATCCTGGTGCTCTCGCTGCTGGGGCCCAAAGATGCCCAAGCAGTTTACACACACTGCATCATGGGTCTAATTAATGCATCATGGGTCTAATCATGTGTATGAAAAGAGGGAAGTGGAGTTTAGAATACCTTGGCAACTGAAACATCATACTGTCCTTAGCTAAGATCTTAGATAACATAAAAGATTTGGGCAAGGTTCATCTGCCAGTGTCCTTGTCCCACTGTGGTATGTTCAATTTGTCATCGTTTTCTGGTGACTGTCAATGGAGGGTAAAGCCCACAGCACTGACCTCTTACCCAGCCTGAGGAAGACCTGCGAGCAGAAAAGGGGCAGCTCTGTTGTGACTGATCTGAAGGAATGCTGTACACTTACTCATCCCTGCTCTGGGGTTAGTTTAAAACTAGGTTCCATTGGTCATGAGCCCTGTAAGAGCCCGTCTACACCTGCCACCCCCGTGATGGGCTGGGAAGTGGACCAATGTGGAGAGTGTCCAGTGCACAAGAGCGAGTGTGCTCCACATGTGGCTCACAGTCCCACTGAGGGAAATGACCTCACCTGCACAGAATGTTGGCACAGGCCAGGCTTCTGTGATGTCATCCTCCATGGCAGTTATTAGGCCTTGCTGCCAGCACAGCACAGTGGCACAGGGACAGGCGCCGAGGGCAGGGACAGAGCAGGGAGAGCAGGTCTGTGGGGAGAGGGCCTGGGGAGCAAGGGAGTGGTGGACAGGGGTGAGGGAAGGGAGAAGGCAGGATGGGGATATGGGCACGGACAGGGTAATGGAGGATGGGGACAACAGAGTGGTCCAGGGGTGGTCCAGGGTAGGCCGAGGGTGGGCCAGGGAGGGTGAAGGTGGGTGAGGGTGGGCCGAGGGTGGCCAGGCAGGGAGAGGGTGGGCAAGGGTGGGCTGAGGGTGGGCCAGGGAGGGCAAGGGTGGGCAAAGGTGGGTGAGGGTGGGCCGAGGGTGGGCCAGGGAGGCGAGGGTGGGCCGAGGGAGGTGAGGGAGGGCGAGGGTGGGCAAAGGTGGGCGAGGGTGGGCTGAGGGTGGGCCGAGGGAGGGCGAGGGTGGGCCAGGGGGGGCGAGGGTGGGCCGAGGGAGGGTGAGGGAGGGCGAGGGTGGGCCGAGGGTGGCCGAGGGAGGGCGAGGGAGGGCGAGGGTGGGGCGAGGTGGGCCGAGGGTGGGCCGAGGGTGGGCAGGGGTGGGCGAGGGTGGGGGGGCGAGGGTGGGCCGAGGGTGGGCCCGAGGGAGGGTGAGGGTGGGCCGAGGGTGGCTGATCGTGGGCTTAGTGGTGGAATTGGGAGGGAGAAGGTGAGCACGGGGTGATGGTGGTTGGCAGGCATGGAATGGGGCCACTGGATCCAGGTCAATGGGAGAGCAGTGTAAGAGGAGACTGGGGGGGTACAATGGGGGGCTCTCTGTAGCATTCATGCTTGCACCATGGGTACGTGGGGAGAGTGTTGGTATTTCTTCTCAACCCAACTGGCCTTCCCTAACCTTGTGAAATGGCAAGGGTTGAATCCCTGGACCCAAACACCATTGCCTGTGTTTATAAATAAAGTTTCCACATTGATCAGAAAACTACCATGTGGTGTGTAATTTTTCACAAAGATTATGCATTTGAAACAGAAATGAGCAAGAGAGGTGGTGACAGAGAGGTCTTCCTTCCTCTGTTCACTTCCCACGGGCCCAACAGCAGGTAGGGGCCAGGATGGAGCCTGGAGCAGGGAACTCCTACTACTCTCCTAAATGGGTGGTAGGGCCAAAGTACTTGGGCCTGGATCTGCTGTATTCCTAGGCACACGAGCAGAAGATCGGATGGGAAGTGGAGCAGCTGAGACTTGAAATAGTGCTCCAACGTGGGAGCTTAGCTGAGCAGAAGCTCCAAAAAGGTTGGCTCCCTTGTGAAGTGTCAGTGAGTGTAAGAGTTTGCACACCCTAGGGATGGAAGGTAGTGTTCCATCTGCTAGTTCACAGTGCACAACACGCTGGGTAACTACTGCCTGAGACAGTGTTGGGACCCCACAGGCATACATAAAATTTTTGGCACCTCCCCTTGCAGCTGAGGGAGGCCTGGTTTTGAGTGGAGAGCTTCACTGAAGAGGGACGACTCACCTCGTGGGACTAGAGATGGGAGGGGAGGTCCTGAGCCCAGCAGGATCCTAGGCTGTGTCCGTGCTGAAGGAGGCTCATGTCTGGCTTTCCCCAGCAATATGTCCCGACGGCTATGAAACAAGACAAAACCAACAACCTTTAAGGCCTCTGGGAATCCACCAAAAAACACCCAAACCAACCAACCACAAAACAGACAGCACTGATTGATGGAGAATTGCTGACTGCCCAGGGAAGAAGAGTGGGAGAAGGTGGTGTGCTGGCCTGGAGCTGTGTCCCTTTCCTCCCCACCCTGAGCTTGTGGTGCTACCAGGGTGGGTGAGGTGTCTGTGAAAACCAGCAGCTTGGTTTCCCTGGACATGGTGCTGAGGGGGAGAGCAAGGACCCATGCGCAAGTCCTGCCAGTAAAAAGAGCAAACTTCACAGGACAGAACGCAGGAAAGCGGCAGTCCTGCTGCCCTGAGGTTAGAGGCCCTCTGACAGGGGAAGACCAGTGTGCCAACAATTTTTTATTTTTTTATAGTTAGGTACTTATTCGAAAGCCCAAGATACACAGAGTGTGACATAGAGAGATCTTCCATCCAACGGGTTTACTCCTCAGGTGGCTGCATCACCACTATGGGACCAGGCCAAAGCCGGTGAGGATCAGGAGTCGAGACTTCCCGTCTCCCAGAGGGTGGCAGGGCCCCAAGCACTTGTTCCATCTGCCACTGCTTTCCCCAGGACATTCGGGAGAATCCTGATCAAAGTGGAACAGCCTGCATACAAACCAGTGCCCATATGGGACGCTGGCATTACAAAAGGTGACTGAACCTACTATGCTACAACACTGGCCCCCAATTTTTTTATTGATTGGAAAGGCAGGGACACACAAAAGAGAAAGGGCCAGATGGGGAGAACGTCCATCCTTGTTTAGCCCTCCAAGTATGCACAACATCCATGGCTGGGCCAGGCAGAAGCCAGGACCCAGGCATTCAACCTGGGTCCATGTGTGGCAAGGACCCAACAACTTGAACTCTACCTGTTGTCTCCCAGGGTGGGTATTACAGGAAACTGGAACTGCAAGGAGAGCTGGGACTTGAACTCAGGCCCTCTGTTATGGGATGGGAGCGTCCCAACAGGTGGTGTCATCGCTGTGCCACACACCCTCCCCCAAAAAGAGTTTACCAGGAGAATCCTGGATGCCATGGTTGGCTAGACTGAACTCAGCAACCAGGAGCTTCATTCACATCTCCCACGTGGGAAAGCAGAGAAGATGGCCCATGTCTTTGGGCCTCTGATCCAACTGGGATACCTGGGGAAGCTCTATGAGCCATGGGGTACAGAAGATCTGCTCCACCTCAGCTGTCCCCTCCATGGAGAGAGAGCCATGTTCCCAGAACCAGCTCTCCGTGGCTGCTCCACCTTGGGTTTTTGAGCCCCTGAGCCTCTGCTATGTTGAGTGCCTGGGAGTACCTCACAGTCCTACCTGGGTGCACAGCCCCCATCAATCCTCCAGCCAACTCAAGGTCAGTGGGGAACAGGGACTTTGCTCTCTGGCAATATCCCTGGATCCCACACGTGCACCAAGAGTCACTCGCCACGGCCCCTCCTTGTTTCACAATGGCACCTTCTCCCCACCATCCTCCAGCTGAACTGCCAGCTGCTGGGCACATGCCCAAGACCTGCTCCTGCTACTTACACCCTAATTCCACCTGCCCTCTCTCAGCCACCTGTTTTGTGGGGAAATGGGGAGAGGGAAATGTGCCCCTTTGTCCCACTGAGTAAGTGGGTGCCCTGTCGCACTCAGGACTCCAGGCCGCATTCACAGACAGCGCAGTTGACCAGGCTCTCCCTCCAGCTAGATCACCAGTGTCACAGGTTTCTGCAGACTGATCTCACTCACTCTCCAACGCTGATGCAGTCTCCTGCTCTCAGCTCCTGGGGTCATGTGCTTTGTCTATGCTTGCTGCTTTGTGTCCACGTGGGCCTTCCACCATGATCCACGGTGTCCTTCTTCCTTCCTCAGCACTTCCTGTAGTTTGCTCTCCAAGTCTCCCCTAAATATACTTCATCCCTATCTTTTTTTTTTTTTTTTTTTTTTTTTTTTTTTTTTTTTTTTTTTTTTTTTTTTTTTTTTTTTTTGCTGTTTTCCCCTAGCCTAAAGCAGTACACACTTTCCCCATTCTGCTCTTTTGGAATCTCCAAGATGCGTACTTTAAAATGGCTTGCCTCATGAACGGCATAGCAACACAGCAGAACACAATTTATTGTTTAGAGGTCTGGCATAAGCAAATTCAGTTCAGAGTACTAATGTTAGATTTCGTGGCATTTATTCTCACTAGTTAATTTTCAGAGGTCTTTCTAACAGTAAGGAATTCCTTTGGGAAATTTAGCAATTTCCTTGCTGAAAACCACTGGGTTACATTGTTCTGGGAGTGGAACATTGTGCCCTCCTTAGAACATTAGTGAAGGCCTTGATAGTCACTCTTTGGCAAACACTCTGCTGCTGAAAATACAAAGGAGAGACAGGAGTGACATTTGCATTTTGATTTAGACAGTACTTTTCTCAACTATTTATGGTCTCCTTTCCTCTTCAGAATGCCTTGTACACGCACACACACACACATTCCTCTGATATAAAGTATTCTGTATAGAGAATCGAGCCAATTACTGAGACATGAGCAATGTAGAGAGTAGAGTGTAAGGGAGAAAAATTCACTGCTCTACAATTATCAAACACAATGAAGATTCACTGCCGATCTGATGTCTGTTTTAGGGATCATTTGATAACAGCTTTTCCCCTTTTGGTTTTTCATTTAGCTGTGCTTTCAGATTTTTTTTTCATGTTTTTGGTAATTTTCCTTTAAATATCTGTACAAGAGTTAACATTGCAATGTGGCATTGCTACCAGTACTCTGCTATGTGATACTTATTTTAACACCTTTGATTCTGAGAAAATTTGATGGGTTAGTTTTTTCTGGAGCAATTCCTTTACTTCACTTATTTTAACCCATTGCTTTTGATAATTCTGTTTATGAGAAGTTGCCTTCACTTCTTGCTCCTGGAATCACGGCTATCATGAATTTCTGCTTTCTGACTCCTGGCAGCTCAGGTGAGATGACTCAGCCTTTTGAAAGCCTTACAGCAGTTGCACTCCCTAGAATATTTTCTGACTTCTTTCAAATATTTTAACCAAAAAAAGATTTTGAAGGCAAAATGAGAAAAGGTTGAAATTAAGTTATACATATATTGCATATCTTATCTTTGTTTTTCAAATTTATTTCTGTAGTGGAATACAAGCACTCTAAGGTCTAAGCCATACATATCTACATAAACATTTATGGAATGTGGTATTATTTTCAAAAGCCTCAGCCGGCGCTGCGGCCCACTAGCTAATCCTCCGCCTAGCGGCACCGGCACACCAGGTTCTAGTCCCGGTCGGGGCACCGGATTCTGTCCCGGTTGCCCCTCTTCCCCAGCTCTCTGCTGTGGCCAGGGAGTGCAGTGGAGGATGGCCCAGGTGCTTGGGCCCTGTACCCCATGGGAGACCAGGAAAAGCACCTGGCTCCTGCCATCGGATCAGTGTGGTGCGCCGGCCGCGGCGGCCACTGGAGGGTGAACCAACGGCAAAGGAAGACCTTTGTCTCTCTCTCTCACTGTCCACTCTGCCTGTCAAAAAATAAAAAAAAAGCCTCAACAAAAGGCAGCAGTAAAGCTGAAATATCAAATGTTTGAGAATAATGTAATAATACCAATATCCAAAATGTTAGAATGATGCAATTATTTGTTTCTGACTACAGATTTCCTGATATGATCATGGTATATAATTTAGCATTAGACCAAGATTTATTGCCTCATAAACACATTAAAATAATTATTTTGTGTGAATTAGAATTCTAAGACATAAAAATGAGAATTAAACCTTGATTCAAGAAATTTTGAAAAGTGCATTGAAGGATCATAGGCAGCATACAAAAGAACCCAAAGAAGATAGTGAACCACAACCAGGAGCAAGACACAAATAGAGTCCTCTGTGTGGCTGAGATTCTAAACTACAACTGTCCCCAGATCTTGATCTTTCTGATTTGCTTACCGAAGGCTCCCACTGTCACTGATGCAGCTTTTGGTGTCACTAACGCACCAGTGCAGGCACTGCTGCCTGTGAAAGCTCAGTGACCTTACAACTCCTGAAGTCACTGCCAGAAATGACAACTTAGCAGCTTCTTTCCAGCTGAGGGCAGCTGTCTGTGTTTGGCTATATTGACAGCATATGTCTACCCTAGGGGTAATACATACCAGGAAATCATGTATTTGGCATATTCTACTTCTTCTTGGCAACAATTCCAAACTGGAAAGCAACGTTGCACCCATATAAAGATGTTACACCCCTGCACATTCACCCAGCATTCTGTAATATCATTTGTAAAAGTCTTTATTTTTTTGAAAGGCAGAGAAAGAGTGAAGGGGGGGTCCCCTATCCACTGGTTCACTCCCCAGATGGCTGCAATGGCAGATTGCGCTGATCTGAAGCCAAGAACCAGGAGCTTCCTCCAGGTCTCCCATACTGGGCAGAGGCTCAAGCACTTTGGCCATCTTCTACTGCCTTCCCAGGCCATAGCAGAGGGCTGGATCAGAAATGGAGCAGCCAGGACTCAAACCTGTGCCCATATGGGATGCTGGTACTCCATTGGCAGCTATACCTGCTACATCACAGCGCCTGCCTCCAATATCTTCTGAACTCTAGTTGGCCCCATAATGTATTCTTGACCAGTACGGTGCACCTGGGAAATGAGCTGAACATGGGTCCAAATACTTAGGTGCTACCACTCACATTATAAACTTGGATGGAGTTCCAGGCTCCTGACCCCATCAGGGATTACAGCCATTCTGTTAGTGAACCAGAGAAGATCTCTTTTCCCACTATGCTCTTTGTCTCTCCCTCTTTCTCTGTCACTCTGCCTTTTAAAATTAATAATAAAGTGGCCAACAAACACTTGAAAAAATACTTAGGATCACTAATCATTAGGGAAATGAAAATCAAAACCACAATGAGGTTTCATGTCCTCCACATAGAATGGCACT